GAGACAGGAGAAGGCCTTATTAAAGAGGATTTCTAGTTATGAGCTCTGTTCCAGCATCTCTGAGATCAAGAGAGACGTGGCCATCGGCAACCTCTGTGGATGCTGAACACCCACAAGGAAGCATTTAAACCATCTTCACTGACATCCCTCACTCCAACCCCCACTAGGTAAGATGGCTAACGTAAAGGACAGCTTCTTGTATATAACTTCATATTAAGCATGAGTAATCACCATAAATATAACAATAATATTACATACTCTAACACGGGATCCATGTGCAGTTCTAGCAAGAAAAGTTGTGCTGACTTTTCTCCTGTACGTGGATGTGTGCCTGCCATCCCCCCACCAGCCAGCCACCCATTCTCTGGGGAGGCAGCACTGAGGATGCTTTCAAAGCATAAATATCAGCCTGGAGTTTCACCTCCACCATCTCCTAGGTATATGTTGTACTACCAGCTGGTAGCCTTTGGGCAAACCGTTTAATGTCTTGGCTATGCTTTCCTCACCTGTGAAATGAAAGCCATAATAGTGCCTCTTATTAGCATGGTCCAGTGGTCGGCAAACTCATCAGTCAGCAGAGCCAAATATCAACAGTACAACAATTGACATTTCTTTGGAGAGCCACATTTTTTAAACTTAAACTTCTTCTAGTGCCACTTCTTCAAAATAGACTCATCCATGCCGAAACTGGTTTGGCTCAGTGGATAGAGCATTAGCCTGCGGGCTGAAAGGACCCAGGTTCGATTCTGGTCAAGGGCATGTGCGTTGGTTGTGGGCACATCCCCAGTAGGGGCTGTGCAAGAGGCAGCTGATCGAAGATTCTCTCTCATTGATGTTTCTAACTCTCTATCCCTCTCTCTTCCTCTCTGTAAAAAATCAATAAAATATATATTTTTTAAAAAAAATAGAATCACCCAGGCAGTGGTATTTTGCGGAAGAGCTACACTCCAGGGGCCAAAGAGCCGCATGTGGCTCTCGAGCCTCGGCTTGCCGACCACTGGCCTACTCACAATGACAAAACGATTCCATGAATGAGTGCAAAAAAACATAAGCTCTCAAGAGTTCATCCTCACAATGACGATAATTATAGTCCGTACTCTGACTGAGAAACCATTCACTGGTCTGCAGCTGTGTGCCAGCCTCCGGACCAGGCAGCAGATAGCATTAGCCTTCCGATGTTGCCAGCATCCTTTGCGGGGCATTGATCTCTCCCGGCAATGCCGCCGGGACAGGCCTCCCTCTCGCGCCGAGGATGCTGGTAGGCCCAAACCCTGGAGCCACTTACGGCATGAGCCGTAACCATGTTTAAACAATTACGAGCATTAGGTTGCAGGTACCCATGACGGGAGGAGGCCGGCCCAGCACGGTGCTCCTCTTGCAGAGATGTCTTTTGTGTGGGTTTTGGGTTTCAGCTGGGCCATGCAAAGCCAGAGAGAGGGAGTCAAGAAACGGGTTTTCACAGGCTCGCCCTGTCACAGGCCAGGCAGGAGTTCCCGCGGACATCCCCACAGCGAGATTAAACAGCGTGCTTCGTCAGGCCCTAAACGCTAACACAGCTCCGACGTCAGGGGGACGCTGATTAAAACTGATGCCAATAATTTATGAAACACAATATGGTCTTCAGATGCTCTTTTTGAAAGAAGAAAAAAAAAAAAATAGGGAGGGAGAAAAAAAGGGCCTAGCAACCCAGGTGGTTTAAAACTGTTCCTGCATTTCCCCTTGAATGTACACTCCCCCCCCCCCAACACCACACACACACACCATGCATGGATGCTTCTTGACACCATGAATGTAAATGCACATGTGTAGAAAAGCATGTGAACACTGCTGATACATATGGGCGGAAGAGAGTCTTTAGCTATTCCACGGAGAGCTGTCGAGGCTCTGTAACGTTAGACACAGCCTTGTCTTTCATATTGTTTGGAGGGCGTGTGTTTTTCCGGAAGAAACCCAAAATGGCATTTAAAATAAAATGGAGTCTTACAAAAGTTCCCACGGATTCCATAGAGAACTCAACCTTGAAACAATGCGGAAAAGAAAGCTTGGCCAACGGAAACCTACAGGACAAATGCATTTCTTAGTGATCGGGAAGGATTGTGGCCCTATCCAGCAGAAACATGTAGAGAAATAACACCAAAAGTTTTTTTTGTTTTTTTTTTTTAGAGGTTTGGGATGGGAATCACCTAGGGAAGGGTGCCATTGGAGTCTCTTCTTCATCGTGTCTCATGTTATCAAGGCAAAGACAGAACAGCACGGTAACAATGTGTTTATCGAGACTGATTTTGGGAATGAAAAACAGATTAGTACGTCTTCGATTTGCCTTAGTTGTAAATAATCCGAGAGCTTGAATGTAGGTCAGCAGTGTGAAATTCACAAGATGGGATTATGTTGGAGAGAGAGCGAGAGGAAAAAAAAAAAAAAAATTCTGAGCCGCTGATCGTACAAAAGTTAGTGTTTGAAGGGTTTATTAAGGCTTTTCCCTAGCACAGTGCCCTGTAGTGTCTCAGATCACCTGTCAAATACTAATTCATTCACATCTCTCCTCGGCGGGGCCTTTTCATAAAAAGCTCGACCTTTAATTGTAAATCACTTTTAAATTGTCTCTGCTGGCTTTCTCTTTCACAGGAGGATGGAAAAACCACTAAGACTTCAATTAAGACTTTATGGGAACTTCACCCCGACTCCCTCCCGTCTGTATCTACAAGATATCAGAATATCTACTCAAAAAGGAAACGGTAAGAAACTTTGACATAGCTGAATAGGCTTTGCTTTAATAGATTTAAAGATACTTTAACTAAGTGAGAATTAAAATAACTTCGGTAAAAAAAAAAAAAAAAAAAAAAAAAAAAACCTGAAAATATTGTTAGCTGATTATTTGTCATGTAGATCATGTGCTTATTAGGCCTAATTAAACTTTTTGAGCAAAAAGGCTTTACTAATTACATTAGTGAATATGTTGATTGCTCAATTTGGCTTAAAAAAAAAACTGTCAATCCAATTTGTGCCTAGTTAGTGCTGTCGTCAAAAGACAAAATCCTAAGCTACAGAGGTTATTTCAAGTGCAGGACTATTGTTGCAGCAAATGTGGGTTCTGTCCCCACATCCAAAGTGACTGGGAGAGGGAGAGGTGGCTGATGAATCTGAACAAATCTGCACTAAGTAGACAAATCTTCAAACCAGTAAAATGTCACCACAGCAGCCAGCTTATTTGCCTCCACGCATTCACTAGCATTTGTCCAATTAGACCCTGCCGGTGACAATTCAAAGGTATCTTTCATATGCACATACAAACTAACACTGATAGCAAAACCCTGGGAGGCCCTTGGAATGTCAATACAGGGCTTTTACGCACAAAAGGAAGAAAAGAAAAGAGGAAAAAGGGGAAGAGGAGGGGGGGAAAGAGATGGGAAAAACCAATATTTCTGAAGAACTCAAGCAGATCAAAGGCATTTTATTCTCAAAGACCACGAATGCCCGGGTATAACTATCTCACTATTGCAGAATGCTGAAAAGACTCTCTTCAAACCGGCCACCGGTCCCATCTCTTCAAGGAGAGGGGAGAACAATTAGGTCTGCAAAATCCCCACACAGCGAGTGCAAAAATGGAGGGTTCGCCGTGCAACAGGAGGCCCAGCCCTTGCAGACCAGGAGGCCTTCTCGGGCCTCAGTGCCCACCCAGCGCTCCGAGACATGTTTTCCTCTGGATTGCTCAAAAGTCTGCATCCGCAGTCATGAGGCACAAACTATTCGACAACAACATGACACAATTAATCAGAACCAGACCTCCAAACGTGTGTGCGTGGGGACCAGCAAACTTTGCAATGTGCTTCAGAGGGTGAAGCAACCGAAGAGGCTCACACTGGCTGTTCGGGAAGGGGGAGGAGTGGGGAGAGAGGCAAAGGAAAAATCTATACGTTCACAAAAGATGCACACCAATGGCCCTTTACAACCTAAATCATTTTCCTTAGAATAGAATGAAATTTACATCTCATACTGGAAGAGTCATGTCTTACTACCTGCCCCCTCCTCCCACGGCCCCCAGAAATCATCCCTGAGTTTCTATAGCAACAAAGTTGCAAAATTCAGAAATAGAATATAACCCCCCGCCCCCCAGTCTCATTTCTAACAAAATCTATTCTCCAGCACGCCGGTTTTGTCAGTTTTCTCTTTCAGGAACTGAAACCCCATTAAAAAGTGAAAATCTGGATCCTTCGTTAATTCAAAACTATTTAATTTCACCCGATTCTGACACTAACACATCTGTTGTGCTCCTTTTTTTTTTTTGAACCAGAATTGAATTAGTTTAAAATAATTAATGAACTCTCCTTTGTAATCTGTAGATAAGTAATTAACTTCCCTCACATCATCATTTTGCTAACACAAGCACGCTGTCCAAAAGGGGAGGAAAAAAATTCAAACCATAAAACATAAATGGAGGGCGCAGGAATGGATTTTCGCCGGGTACTGAACTGGCCCCACACTGCAAAGAAACCCCTCGGCCATCTCCCCAGGGGATTTATGGTTGTGGGGCTGGAACCCCCAGGGAACCAGGCCGGCGGGCGGGATCCCCCACTGCGCCCAGTTTCAGCCCTAAGACAGGACGCTCCCGCCGAGCTGAGGGGAAGGCAATGCATGTTTGCATGTGGATCCCAGGTTAGAGGAATATTTTCTGCAAAACGCTCTCTCTCCCTGCAACATTTCCCGTGCTTCTTGGCTTTGCAGAGCGCACCGGTCGGTCGCAAACCGGAGAGAGTCCAGGGCCAGCGCCACGAGGAACGCGCGGTCCTGAGCTCTGCCCTCCGGGTCCACCACATCCCGGAACGCACCTCCCTCCATCCCCGGAGGCACCACCGCAGCGGAGGATCCTCCGATCAGCCGCGGCGCCCCGGGGTGCGAGCCCCCCCCCCAACAGCCGCCCCGCGCCCCCGCCCGCCCCCCCCTCCCCCGCCGCCCGCATCCCGCATCCGCACCCCCCCCCGGCCACGCGGCGCCGCACTCACCCACGCACTCGTTGGCCTCGCGGGCCGTGGCGCGCTGCCAGGGCCGGTCGTAGTGGAAGGGCTTGCAGCGGTCGCACTCGGGCCCCGCCGTGTGGTGCCGGCAGTCGCACACCAGGCCGCCGTCGTCGCGGTCGCGCACGCAGCGGGCCGCGTGGCCGTTGCACTTGCAGCGGCCGCCCACCTGCAGGTCGGACACGGCGTAGAAGTACGAGTCGCGCGCCAGCTCCGGGTCGTCCTCGTTCTCGTCGCCGAACGTGTGCAGGCGGCTGAAGGCCACGCGGATGTCGGTGGCCGTGACCCAGTCCTGCAGCACCGGCGAGTTGTCGAAGTCGTGCGCCGAGGGCCGCCCGTCCAGCGTGCTGAAGGCGATGAGGCCGCCCTGCAGCGGCCGCATGTCGGTGTGCGAGTCGGTGCACACGGCCTCCTGCTCGTTCTGCTTGGCGATGGGCGCGCGCGGCGGCCGGTTGTACATGCGGCGGCACTGCGTGGAGTAGAACTGGAAGGGCACCCACGTGCGCCCGTAGTCCATGGACTTGAAGATGGCCATGGACTCGGGCCGCGGCGAGCAGAACTGCAGGCTCACGTACGTCACCTCGAACTTCTTGCCCAGCGACAGCGTGAGCGTGACGTTGTGCGGGAACTGCGGGTAGGTCTCGGACTGCCAGCACGTGAGGTTGTGCGGGTTGTGGAGGTCGGTGAGGAAGGCGGGCGGGTGCGCCCTGCGCGGGTCGGACGCGTTGCAGAGGTGGCAGGCGCGCAGCCGCTCCTCGCCGCGCTCGCTCAGCACGCAGTAGCGCGCGGGCGGCCGGCCGCAGGTGCTGGACACGCGCACCTCCTTGCCGAAGGCGGCGTTCACGAAGTCCGGGATGCAGCGGCGCGGGTGGCCGTGCTCGTCCGAGCAGGGGTCGGGCGGCGCCGCCTGGCCCGCGAACGCGCTGAGCCCCGGCCCGGGCCCGCCGCGCGCCGCGCCCGCCAGGCACGCCACGGCCGCCAGCGCCGCCAGCGCCCCCCACGCGGCGCGCATCATGCCGCGGCCAGCCTGCCCGGCCCCGCCGCCGGAGAGGGTCCGCCCGCCGCCGGAGAGGGTCCGCCCGCCGCGCCGCGCCGAGGAGCCGGTCCGCCCGCCGCCGAAGGCGCCTGCGGAGAGAGGGGAGCTGCGCTCAGCCTGCCCGCCCGCTCCCTCTACCCACCCAGCGCGGGGCGGAGTGCCGGGATGCAGGCTAACGCCCCCCCCCCCGCTTCCCCGGCACCCACCCCGCCGCGGCAGACCGCCCGCCTCGCAGAGGAAGGCGAGTCCGGGGGCTGAGGGACCCCCCGCCCAAGCCAGCATCACCCGCGCTTCTCCCCCGCCCAGCGGCGCAGCGGGGCCGCGGGCGAAAGCCAGGCTTCCCGGCCGCCGCCTCCACGCCGCCCGAGGGGCATGCCCGCGCCCGCCTGCCCGCTCGCAGCCAGCCAGCCCGCCGAGCACCCCAAAAGTCTCGGGATCAGGAGAGCGCGGGGAGGGGGGCCCCAACCCCGCAGGACCCGCGCTCTCCTTCCTTCTCCCGCAGCCCGGGGGGTCCCCCTCCGCTGCCCCGGATCGCGTCCCCGCCGCCGGAGACTCTGCGTTCGGGACGTTACCTCTGGGACGGGCAAAAGAGAAAGGAAAGTTTGCCGGGCACCGGCCGGGAGCCCGCACGCCGGGCCGCGAGAGGCTCCTCTCCCTCGCCGCTGGCGGACGCGTCCTGCCTCAGCGCGGGCTGCCCAGCTCCATGCCCGGCGCGGCCGCCGCCGCCGCTCCTGTTCGGGTGAAGCCGCGGCCGCCGCTGCCGCCGCCGTCCGAGTGCCGCCCAGCCCGCGCCCGGCGCGCACTCCGCTGGCCGCGAGCACTCCCCGCCGCACGCGCGCCTCCGGGGGCTCCGCAGCGGCCGCCGCTGCGCCGGGAGCGGGGAGCGGAGGGGGCGGAGGGGGCGGAGGGGGCGGAGGGGGAGCGGGGAGAGGGGGGCGGGGGGCGGGGCCGCCGGGCGGGGCGCCGGCCAATAACGAAGCCGGGCGGCCGCCCGCTCGGGAGCAAAGTTTTCGCCCCGGGAAAGAGGAAAGTTCAAGGGAACCGGCCGGGGGCGCGGAGGGAGCGGGAGCGCCCGCGGGTGGGAAGCCGAAGAGTTCGAGGAAGGAAAGCGGAGACAAAGAGAAAGCTAGAGGAGCGCCCGGGGAAACCCCGGGGAGGAGCGGAGGGGAGGCGGGCCCGGGCTGCACGCACCCCGCGAAGGGAGGGAGGAGGGGCGGGCGGGGGACGCGGGCTGTCAGCCCCGCTCCGGCCCGCGCTGGCCGCCCCGGGAGCCTCGCAGGTTTCCGCCGGCCCCTCTCCTCCTCCTTCGGGAGCGGAGCGCGCGGGCGGGGTGGGGGAGGGGACCGTCCTCTCCCTGCAGGTCCCATCCACACACATCTGTGTTTGCTTTCTTGGCTGCGCCGCCGCCCGCGGAGGCCGAGCCTTCCTCTCACCCAGCCTGATGGCCACGGTGGCACCGCGTACAACTCCGTGCCCCTGAGGGCAAACAGCCCGGGGTCATGAGGAAGAGGAGGGTGTGACCTCTGCCTGCTCACCCCTCTTGCCCGAAGCCCCCCTGCCCCCCGGGTCTGGCGAGAGGGGCTGCCCTTGTGCACCAGTCCCTACACACACACACACACAGACACACACACAAATGCACTTCCTTCCAAGGACACACAGTTGTAACGGTGAGGTTGGGCCTATCGGTCAGGCTTCTTTCATGCCCAGGGAGCCAGGGTGTGCAGTAGACTGAAGGGGAAAGAAGCAGGACAGCACCGGGGCACTGGCCAGCGGCCCTCTAGCCAGGTCTGCGGAGTCTCAGGCTGGGACGAGCCCAGCCTGCCCAGGTCCCCTGAGGCAGGCTTACAGGACTTCTTCTGAAGGATGCCATCCCCTGTACTAGCTCATGGGAGCCCGCAGCAGCTTTGCAAAGCAGGCATGAATTCCTTTTTGCAAATGAAGACACCGAGGTCTCCGGAGGTGAGGAAACTTGCCCAGCTCTCCCAACTGGTAAACATCAAATTCTTCCTCTCCTCACGTTTGTCAAGTGGATATTCCCACCCAATTGTAGTCTCAAGGGGCCTTCTCGGGGCTGCCCAGCCTCTCCTTACCTCATTGTCTACCTTAACGACAGGACTGAGGACAGTGGCAGCATCTGACAGTCTCCTTTGACCCTTGCAGCAGCCACCAAGAGCTCTGGGGACAGAATGCTCTGGGCTGGGAGGCTGGGACTCCATTTCTGTTGCTTTTATGTCACAAGTAATAGAACTGGATGGAAAACCCAAGGTCCTGCTTCTGGCCCGACAGCTGACTTGCTGTGGGAGCTCCATTAAGTGCCTCACTTTGTCATATTGGCTTTTTCCTAAACTCCGAGACTCTAAGAAGGGGCCTCAGGCTCGCCTGGCCCAGCTTGGTCTCAGAAGAACAGCTTTCCCCGAGAGACAGCTCCCAAGCCAGCTCTTCCCGGCCTGGGATGTCACCCAGCCCAAGGAGCGACATCCGGTCCTTTGCAGGACAGCCCAGGCCCACCCTCTTTCTGGGGCGACCCATGAACTTTGCCTTCTTATGCCACTGCCCCTGGGCACCGGTTACTTATGCTTGATCTGTGGCTGAGAGGATTTCAGGTGACTTACAGGGAAACTAAACATGGAGACAGAGCATCACTTAGACAGGGATTGGAGAATGAGATGTCTAACCACATGGACTGACACATCTCAATGGCACGTTAGGCAGCACAGCGGTTAGGAGCGAGGGTGCCGCTGGCAAGTTTTGCAACTTTCTGCGCCTTATTTTTCTCACTTTCAAAAGGGGGTACAACATTGTCTACCTCACAGAGTTGTGAGCATCAAAGGAGCTAACATGAATATTATACCTTCAAAATGTATACATGCTGTATTTATATAATCTATATGAATAGACTCACATATAGGTACACGTACATATACACAAAACCAGGCACATAATAAGTAAGTGGATGTAAAAATGTTAGTTCTTACTATTGAATTGCTAAATCTTTATGGGAACTTAAAGCTAATAAGTAAATTTAATTTAAAAATTATAAAATGAAAAAAAAAGCAAATTACAAAACACTATAGCCCAAAGCACGCTGCACAGTATACTATCAGTTGTTTGTTTGTTTTTAATATGCATACAAAGACAGCAATGTTAATTGTGGTTACCACTGGATAGTGAGATTAGAGGTGATATTTATTTACGGTTGCTTGTATATTCTCAATTTTGAGTAGTAAAATAAGAGGGAACGCTAAGAGAGAAAAAAAAAAGAAAAGCCAAGAGGAAGGACCAAGTAGAAATGGGGACAGAGCTAAAGTGCACCCTGGAATGCTGTTCACCTCCTCTGGATGGGCCACAAATGTGTCCCTAAGCTTCCCCACACCCCCACACCCCACCCTCCACCCCCAAACAGCCAAAGTGAAAAGGAGACCATGTCAGTTACACAGTTCCCCGTGACCCAGGGATAAAAACAGACCTATTACTCACGAGAATTACAACCAACTATTCTTGGTACTAAAATCAGACAGGAATTTCTCCTGGAGGGGAGGGCCCCTACACAGAACACGGTGTGAGGTGACAGCAAACACCCTCATCAACATCCTGCTCAGTCACAGCAGTGAGCTCTGAGGGGCAGTTTTTTGTTGGTGGCCTGCCACGTAAGCTGTTGACAGCGCTCCCAAACACAGGAAAAGACACCCTGACAAGGAGGGACTGAGAGAGGCAAATCAGAGTGCCCCACTCCCCACCCAGCCCGCTCGGTCACCCAGGGCCCTCCCAGCCTTCCTTCTGCTGCTCGCTCTGTCCGCAGGGCTGCTGGCCGCCCTCAGGGGCAGCAGGTTTGGCTGTACTCCTGGACTGCAGCTGCAGGGGGCCTCTGAGTCTAGGCAGCGGCCTTCTGGGGGGGCCTTGGGGAAGAAGCTTTCCACTTTGCTTGTGGTCACATAGGCCTGCCTACGCTATCTTTAATGGTTCCAGGTGAGCCGAACTCTCTCACCTTGTGCCTTGAAGGCCTGGAACATTCTGGGACACAGTAGAGCCTGTGTACGCCAAATTCAAACCCACCTCCCCGTCGCTTGTTCAGTTGGTCCAATTCCAACTCCACCCTTCTGCCTCTTCAAATGTTTGACATCAACCCTCCATCATCTTTCAGTTTGATGTCTTCTAGGCCAGTGGTCTGCAAACTCATTAGCCAACAGAGCCAAATGTCAACAGTACAACGACTGACATTTTTTAAACTTACACTTCTTCTAATGCCACCCCTTCAAAATAGACTCGCCCAGGCCGTGGTATTTTGTGGAAGAGCCACACACTCCAGGGGCCAAAGAGCCACCTGCGGCTTGCGAGCCACAGTTTGCTGCTGACCGCGGTTCTAGGCTAAATGTTTCCCAGTTCTTTCAAAGATTTCGGCCAGGACATTGTTTTCTGACTACTACTCTGCAGACTCGCCCATTGCCCTCTCATTTGTCAATGTCCGTTCCGAAAGCATGCTACCTTTTGAGGGGACAAATGAAAAAAACAGATGTCCAAGTGTCGTGAGAGCTCCTCAGAGTGGGGGTTACAAACACATGGCCCGAAAGGCTGTCAGGCCAGGGGCTAAGCAGCAGGATCCCTGGTTCAGGCTGGAGTTCAAAACACAACAATGGCTGCTGGGTGAGAAAGCAGATTCCCGGGTGTTTCTGCAAGGAATGTGTCTGGAGCGGGAGCTGCCTGTTCTTGGAACCCAGCCTCACCTGAAGCCCAGGGTCCCCCAGAAGAGGGGAAAGTGGCAGTTTGGAGAAAAGTTACTAGGGGCCAACATAGAAGGAGGAAAAACAGGAGAGTCCGGTGTCCTAGAAACCAGCAGGCAAGTTCGGGGAAGCAGGGGCTGCTTTCAAGGTCGAGATAAGATCTGAAAGGAGTCCTTTGGATTGAACTACAAGGAAGCCATTGGTGACCTTGACCAGCAGCGGCCTGCCCGAGGAGTGGTTAAGGACAGAAGCCAGACTGCC